TCTTAAAGAAAATAAAATCCATGAATCGAAATCAAAAACTAGTCAACAATTGAAAGTAACTCATTAAACAAAAGAATATTAGATTTTTTTAGTTAAAACAATCGTTGCCTTTCCATACTGCATGTGAAACTGATTAAATTCACCGAACTAATTCGTTAACCGATTCTAGAGTTCACCTCGTTAATGACGTGAATTTCACGTAGGGTGTAGGAGGGTTAAATATTAAACTGTAAATTTCTAAGCGGCCTAGAATCAGCAACCTTGATTGTGTTGACTGTACTAGGAAACTACGACCAAAGTGAATCATTATTTCTTGGAACAATGTGATAAGCTGTGCTGCCATAATTTATGTTTATTGATGGAGAAGAGATTACAGATGTGAAAATTAAATTAGCCAAGATATTCGTGAAAAATAGAAACGCGTATTTCCTAGTTTAAAAAGAAGTATCATTCAAATGCACACAAGGAGACGACGCTAACTGATTAATTTTCACATTTCTAAAACACTGAATTTTCGTATAGTAACACTTGATTCTTATAATTCTAGAGTTGAAATTCTTTTGTACATTTATGAAATGTCATCGTTATATTTCAAATCACATAATTCATGTTTTAAGATAATGTAGCACCCCATCATTATAATTGTGTATATGTGTATGTAGGTATGTATATATGAACGTTTGTATATATTTTATTGAACACCACAATCAATTACTTAAAGTTTTAAAAAAACTAAAGAAACACGCTGAAGATAATTTTATTTTATTCTGGTGATCCTGATGACCATATTAGGAAAAAGTTATTAAGTTACTGTGTATTCATTGGTCCTTGATACGAGTATAAATTTTTAAGTAAATAGATATAAATAAGTTGGTGAAAATTATATTAAAATATTCCGTTACATATATAGATAGATAGATACGCGCCACGCTAATAGAAGCGTGTTAAAACAAATAATAATAATAACGTTTTAATGAAAAGTAATACCGACTTCAAATGAGTACTATTTAACCGTTTTAGTTGTCTAACAAATATCACAAGTTCAAGGTAACAATTAGAGCAGGGGTTCATAACCTTTATGTGGTTAGGGGCTATTTAGACCGCCAACTTTACGACAATATAATTCCAAAGATTATCACGAACAGTTTTTGTTTATATCAATATGTAATAGCATGCAAATAACCCCCGGAGCATGGAGTGTAGAGTTAATAAGAACCGTCTATGTATTAAAAAGTGTCCGTAGGAGAGCGCTAAATAAGGGTGGCGCCACTGTAGCTAAATAAGAGAATAATTAAATTTTAAAGAACTTTTTATAACTTTTTATTACACAGACATTCACCATAATTCTTTTTTATAATAATTATATTATGGTTTTCAAAATCACTTTCAACGTGTTTCACGGCGACTTTTTCTAGGTTATATTTACTAAATTATTTAAGACAACGTGAGTAGTTGAGGTTTTAAATACTGCAGTTTCACCAACTATAGTCACCACAAATATCAAATTCCTCAACTCAGCACACTGCACTCTGTCGATAACTGCTAAGTTCATTTCATACCCTGTTCTTGCTAATCCAGCGCTGTTGTGGAGAGTTTTTGAACTGTTATTTACTGTTTACAGATGGACACTTTACAACTATTCTACTATGTGAGATGGTTCCCCTTACCTCTACCCTTCATGCCCCGGAGCTTAGTATAAGCCAGTTATTTCAACATTACATACAGATTTTACGTGTTACGTGAGATATTACGTGGTAGAAGCATGCTGCAGTTATATCAGTAGTATAGTTGTAGCACGAATGGGTCGGCTCGACCGGGGCAGGACCACGCTCTCACAGAATACCAGCGTAAAATAACAGCGTAATGCTGCTGTGTTTCGTATGGTGAGTGTAGAGAACCGGAGACCCTTTTTACTGGAAACGAGGCATTTCATCTTGGTCCTCACGGGTGACAACGCATTTGCATTTTGATTCGTAATCGAGGACAATGTAGAAGTCTATGGGCCACAGAATTCACTTACCATCAGGTGGACTGTGTGCTCGTTTGTCATTCTATTCTATATTAAAAAAAATACCTTTATAGGCTCAACGGTAACGGTAACAGTGATAAAAAATGATTTTGTTTCTATTCGTACGTTGAATTTTTAAGTTCATTAAATAGAAAGATGGCCTTGATCGTGCAGGAATTCTTGAATTAAGTTTTGGTTCGATAAATACATGGCGAGAAAATACTGGCCGCTGACTATGTGGTATTTGAGTTAATTGTTACAGGTTTTCCGTTCGGAGTATGCTATCAAAGTCTCCTCCGACCGTATGCTGTTATGTAGTCTGATATATCTGCACAAAAGTGTACACTGTTTTTTTCTTAATTTAAGTGTGACAAACAAGCTTATAGTTCCCTTGTTGGTGATGAAGAGGAATGATAGTTCTGTAATCCTATCATGTTAATACAGAACGCGTATTAACTAACAGCACCCAGCTATTGCACCTTGCATAGATTCATTTGTTTGATATCTTTTTCAAAAATTTGTATATTAAATAATTGGGTCTTTTCTTCAACTTATTTAACTTTTAAGCGACAGTAGCCTAATGGCGCCAACTCAAGAAGGACGTGGGTTCGAATTCGCCATTCGACTACTGGCGTGAACCACTCGTAACACAAGCAATTTAACCTGCTGTTTTTGCTCGCGTATGGTTAAGTTACCACGACCGGTTAAGGGGAATATTAGTAATGTTTATATTCTTAGTTAAAAAAAAAACTAAAAATTATCTGTACTTAGTAGCAGTGTAGTGTATGTATACAGGTATAAAAAATATAAGAATTAAATTACCGAACCTTAACTTTGTAAGATTTGGTACCAAATAGAGTAGGGCTTCTTCTTAGTTTTTTTTTTAGTTTAACTAAAGTATTTTATATATCTACTTGTATTTTCAATAACGCGGCTTTAGGATTGGCCTAGTTTATATTTCTTCTAGACTACGTTTAACTTACTTACTTCTTTTATCAAATTTATCGATAATTAATTTCATAACACTCAATTACAGCTTTATTAAGTACAAATTATCGCTAGTTGCCATATTAAACATTTAGTGTTGAGCGCCAATAAATTAAAATGCTGTTTGAAGCATACACACCACGTTAAATGCTCTAAATAGCATTTTCATTTACTGTGTCAACCAACACCTGCATCTACCCCCCGGTTAAGATCAAAATGCAAATGCGTTGCCATCAGGTTATCACCCTGAGGAGTCCTCGTAAAATGTAATGCCTCATTACTGGTAAAAAAATATAAATCTTATATATATATATCTATTGCTCTCGGTTAGTCTCCCTAACTCGAAAACGGCTCAAAAGATTTTGATGAAATTTTTGTGTGCTTTTGAGTGGGTCCCTAGATGATTTTAATTTAATTGAATGAAATCTAGAAATCACCCGTGCGAAGCCGGGGCGGATCGCTACTATTACATGAAAGTTTAAAACTCATTTTCATAAATTTACAAGTGAATCTATTATCCGTCAAACTTAACACTTTTTTAAAGATAGCTCATTATAGTTACAGCCTAGGTACTACAATTTTCCCTCGTACGTAGAGGTAGTTGACATACAACATGAAACACATAGACAAACATCGAGACCCGAAACAATTTGTAGCCCATAAAAATACTCGTTCCGTGCGGTATTCGAACCCAGGGCCTTCTGCACCGCAATTCTTAAGCTAAGTCGCTTCGCCACGAAGCTGTCGATAGCTTTTTGATTTTGTCGAAGCTTTTAAATATATAAATGTAGTAGAACTACGCTGCAGCTATATTATGGTTGAAGTACGAATAGGTTGGCAAGGGATCTCATAGAATATCAGCGTAAAATATAACCTGTATGCAGCTGTGTTTCATACGATGAATGTGGAGGGCTGGAGACCCTTTTTACTGGAAACAAGGCATTCTATCTTAGTCATCTGGGGTGACAATGCATCTTCATTTCGATTTTTTATTGAAGATGGATGTAGCTAATCTTGGGCCGCTGCATCTACTCAACATAAGGTGAAGTTTGTGCTCTTTTGTTACCCTTATTCTATAAAATACACGTTATTTTCTATAAATTCTTTCTAAAATTAGTAAATCAGGATTGCGTGATAAAGGTAAGTTGTGGTTAAGTGTCGGTGGGTTGCGGGTTACCATCTGATTTTTTCAGTGAATTACATATTAAGGGGCGATCGTACGCGACTGTTCTTTTTTATTATTAATCGAATTAAAAATGTTTTGCCTTTGTTTTATTTAAAAAATAATGCCTGTGAAGCATTCTATGTTTTTATATACAGTGACACTTCAATAAAGAATATAAAAGTCTACAGCTGAATATAGCCGTAAATTATTGCTTGGTAGGTGGGCTAGAAATCGTAAATTTATACGTATAATCGTAGTAAATTTATTATATAAGAAAAACTAATATATTAAATAAGAAAATCTATTTGATTGGGATATATAAATTTACTATATAAAAATGATTAAAAAAGACAAAATAAAATATATGTTAAAAAATAAGGTAAAATTTAAAAATATTCAGGCAGTCAGAATGGACCGCGACGTTGGGATATATAATGGAAATCACCACTGCTCCTTATTAATGTTTCAAGCCATAATTAACACCACTAGCGCCACCTGGTGTCGGCTAACTTTCTACACCTAGTCGATCGGGACCGGTATGTGCTCGAGCATTCTGGATGTTTCAGTAGAAAAGGTCATAGGAGCTTATACTTTACTTTGTATAGGTAAAGGAGTTAAGGACCGCGACCGAGGCAGTATTGAATTGGCAATACGGGCAAAGACTTAGAACGAAATAAAGTGAACTAAAGTGCAAAGTGTGATTAATTATTACTGTGTTTTAAGTTTTAATTGGTATCCGCTAGTTAAAGTGTTTTCAATTTTGGTAATTAAATCGGCAGTTTTTATTGCCACGAACCCTAAGTTCGCAACATTAAGGTCATTTCCTATATATCTACGTACCTTCCGTTTCGTGATCTACTCCCTATACTGACATCATCTCTGGAAGCATTCTTGACGAGAGCCGGTAGAGCGTAGTTGGAGTCCTTTAACGACCCAGTTCCTGGCTGTTCCGTGCTCCTTGCCTTTCGACTCTTTAGCTCTTTTCCTGGTTTAAGTAACATTTATTGGATTAATTATTTCTAGAGGAACTTATTTATCACTTAACACACCACACAGCACAGCATTAACTCTAAACAGTATTCACACTTTCATTTATTACCGTTATCATTATCGTTACAGCGTATAGAAGTCCACTGCTGAACGCAGGCCCCTCCCATAGATTGCCTCATAGGAGGATATTTGCCATAGTTGCCACGCTTGGCAAGCGGGTTGGCAACCACAGTTTTTTTTATTTTAAGTCGTTATCAGGTAGATGCCGCTACCCATCTACTGATTTGTTTCCCTCTGTCGCCTCTTACGACACCCACGGGATGATATGGGATAGGGGATGTTCTTACACCGCCACTACAAAACTAAACAGTAACGGCACAGTAAATTGGAGGAACGTGTCAGATATTGGGTGCGTTTGGTAGAAAAAAGCGCTAGCAAGCGCTTGTAAGCAAAATGGCGATCGTGAGCGGTAAACGCTGTCAAATCGTAAGTTAGTTTTAACCGGGGAACCTAACCTAATTTAAATATGTTTTTGTAAAGTATTCATATTAAAAACTTACCAATCATGAATTTTTAATAACATGTATATGTTTATTCATGTCATTATATTACTTAAAACTAATATTGCACAGAAAAACTTATAAAGTCTACTTCAAAACAAACAAATTAAATAAGCAAAATGGCGGATTGTGTCAGCGCTACTGAAGTAGCAATCGTGTCCTGGCCGAAGACTATTTCAGCGCTTGTAAGAGCTTGCTAGCGCTTTTTTCTGCCAAACGCACCCATTGTCGTATCGTGTTATTTTTGTTGGTGACAATTGCAAGCAAGAAAAAAGCGAGAGATTTTGGATAAAACCAATTTTAACGATTTTATCGCGTTTTATTTTAACTTAGTTTTAGTTCCTAACGTTTTGAGTGTACTTTACAGAACTTATGGTCACAAGGTCATTGAGGTATTCAATGTCATAGTATGTTTCTTTTTTATAATAACCGTTGAATGAAGTGTAATTTCGAACAATTTGAACTTTATCATTATTAATTCACAAACTCGCGGCTTAGTTTCTATTGTTAGCATATTAACTAAGGTAAACACGTGTTTAAATCCCAGCGAAAGTTTTTTTTAATAAAAAATTATTACTGGTAAACCAAAACTTTTCAATGATCTCTTACGTGGTAGAGCCATGCTGCAGATATATTACTGGTAAAGTTGTAGCACGAATGGATCGGCTCGACCAGAGAAGGACCACGCTCTCAGAGCATTCCAGCGTAAAATGGCAGCTTAACGCTACTATATTTCGTATGGTAAGTGTAGAGAACCGGACACCCTTTTTCCTGGAAACGAGCCATTCCATCTTAGTCCTCACGGGCGACAACGCATCCGCATTTTGATTCGTAATCGAGGATAGATGTAGATGTCTATGGGCCACAGCAACCACTTAACATCAGGTGGACTATGAGCTCGTTTGTTACCTTTATGCTATAAAGAAAATCTCGAAACGTGGTTGGTGGCACCTGTGCCAGAATATCCCCCCCCCCCTATTTGCTTATCAGCTATATTATTGTTAAGATGTGTTGTTATATTATTGTTGCTGTAAATTTCACAGTACACGGGCAACCCGGGTTCGATCCCCGCCGGCAATATGATATTGTTAATTGCAATTTTAAGTGCCGAATTACCACGTGCTTGGCGGTGAAGTAAAACGCCGCGAGAATACCTCAGATCTGAGAAATATAAAAAATTAATGTTACCAAGATATGTGAAATCAGCCAACATACATTGCGCCAGCGCGGCGGACACTTCCTTGCCCTAAAACCCTCTCAGAAATGAGGGGAGGCCTGTGGCCAGCAGTAGGACGTATATACAGGCTGTTACTATATTTTCTCGATGGATAAAAGACCACAATCTCAAGGGATACTAAAACAGTAGTTGTTTTATGTATGGGAGTGGGTAAGGGATTAGAATTAGAGGCCCATTTACTGGTAACGAAACATTCTATGTTAGTCCTCAGGGATGACAACACATCTGAATTTTAGTGAATAGATGTAGGTGTAATGATACCTATCATCAGATGGACCCAGTGTTCGTTTGTTAAATCTACTTGTATAAAATAATTAAAAAAAACCCAGCTAGTGGTGAGTAAATAGATTTGACCCTGATTTGAAATACCCAGAGAAATATACCAAAAAATCTGTATGTTTTCCTTTTCGACTAAAGTCGCGGAAAATACGGAAAAGCCTTAGGAGTCCAAAGGAAGGTTAAATTTTATGGGTCCGATCATCGTCATAACAAGGCCGTTGCTGAAAATAGGTCTCCTCCAAGGAACGCTACAGTCCTGAGTCACTTGCACCCATCGACTTCCTGCTTCAATAGAATAATAACCAGGACGTCACTCCATCTCGGGTATAGTATCATTTTTTATTCAAAAATTTAGGTTATGACCACTCTACCCACACGGTATAATACGGGTGATATTTAATAATTATTTAGAAGAACTACTTCGAAACTCAAGGTCAATATGTAATGCGTGTGTTGGTGACGTAAGAAAATCTACACACTTTATCTTCCCATGGGTGTCAGAAACTATAGAAGAGACCAGAGAAATCTAATGAATTTTGGCAGATGCTAGCATAACCTGCTGTTCACGTTTTTTTTCATAGAATAAGGGTGACAAACGAGTACACAGCCCACCTGATGGTAAGTGGATGCTGTGGCCCATAGACATCTACATTTATCCTAGATTAAGAATCAAAACGCAGATGCATTGTCACCCCTGAGGACTAAGATGGAATGCCTCGTTTCCATTAAAAAGGGTCTCCGGATCTCTACACTCACCAACACGAAACACAGCATTATTAAGCTGCTCTATTACGCTGGTATTCTGCGAGAGCGTGGTCCTTCCTTGGTCAAGCTGACCCATTCGTGCTACAACCATAATATAGCTGCAGCGTGGTTTTACCGCGTTAAATATATTATACCTAAGTATCGTCTGGTAAGTGTAGTGGGTGTGGCAAAATAATTCCTATAAGCGTCGCATGTGTCGTACGGAACTACTACAATGATGGCCAAAAAATATTGTCAAATTAAAAATAAAATAAAATTCCGTTATGAGTAAAAATGTTTACCTATTTTAAGCCAGTGCCTGATCTCTATCCCACCTGGTAGTAAGCGGTGATGCAGCCAAAGATGGTTAATAGTAAAGCGAACTGATTTCGCTTAAAAAGCCTATTCACTCTTGCTTTGAAGACACGTTGTAATTTGATGAAAACACAGATGCTGGCCGATCCTTTTACTCCTTTGTTGTACGCATTATGAACGACAAAGCAAACCGTTTAGTTTGATTGCGTGGTATGTGACCACGAAGAGAGACCAGAGGAGCGTTTGGTGATCCGATGATAGAACATTGCATTGCATTAATGCTACTGTGTTTGTATGTTGAGTGTAGAGAACCGGAGACTCGTTTTACTGGATGCGAGGTGCTCCATCAATGTCTCCACTCACCACAGTATCCACGAACCATCAGGTGGACAGTGTGCTCGTTTGTCACCCTTAATAAATAAAAAACTTAATATTATATACAATACATTGCAAAATAAGTACGGTTCATGAGTGCCTTACCGCATCTAGTGGTAGCCACGAGAGTTTCAGCCGACTTAGAGAAGCTCCTAATTAAACCTGATGGTGGAGCTTTGAGCGGAGTGGCTTGTCGGTGATGATACACCTTCTCACGGTGTAGAGGTTGGAACATATGTAGATCTTTTAATGCCATTATCTATTCTATAAAACATTTTTAGTCTGTATATATTTTTATCACATTTTATTAGCTGTGAGTTAAAAGTGACAATCAATGCGTATGTCGTTGAATAGATGCGGGCTATTTATCATTTTATTGCTCACATAAATTTTAAAAAACGTCTGACATTAAATGTTTTCATATTAAATAAAGAGCAGCGTAAAACACTTTGTTATCTAGAAAATAATGTATTCTAACATTTTAAAACAAGTTTATTTTAATTTTGTATTTAATTAAAAATGTTTCGTCTGTGACAAATAATTTTAGCAAATTATACGTCATAAAAGAATGGTTTTTAATTTATATTTTAATAACAGTTTAATATTTGAGGTGGGATTGTGGTTAAGCGCTGGCTTGGTATAATAATTAAAAAATACGTTAAAACGCGGGAAATGTATGAGTATAGAATGACGATACGACTGTCAATTACGCGCGCGGAAAGCGGACTAAATTGCGTTGGTAATGGTGGTGGTGCTTGAAAAACTAATAATAATTCTAACAGCAGAGCTTTTCACTTTAAGTAACTTGACAGGTTGATGGTTTAGTAGAATTATATTATTTTATCCTTAATGGAGAGTGTAGGTAAATTTTACGCAGTGTTTTATATAGTCGATACAAATTACCGTTACGGCCTATCAAAAGTCCACTATTGTTCATGGGGCTCACCCCATAGAATACACCATAAGCGGGATATTTGCAATAATTGCCACGCTTGGTGTGCGAGTTGGCAATGGCAGTTTATTTTTTATTTTTTATTGTTTAGTTGTTATTAAATAGACAATGCTTCCCTTTTCCTTAATTGTTTCCCTCGGTCTTTTGCGACACATTCTCATATTTTATTGGAACTTAATAAGGAATATATAATACGCATAGTTGTATCGCGGTGGACTATTATATTTATATTACAATTTTATACGTGGTAGAGCCACGCTACAGTTATATTTTATGGTTGAAGCACGAATAGGTCAGTTCGACCAGGATAGAACCATGCTCTCACAGAATATCAGCGTAAAATAGTAGCTCAATGCTGCTGTGTTTCGTATGGTGAATTTAGAGAATCAGACACGTTTTTTACTGGAAACGATGCATTCCATTTTAGTCCTTAAGGATGACAACGTATCTACATGTTGATTCTTAATCGAGGATAGATGTAGATATCTTTATAGGATAAGGGTGAGCATTCCATCTTAGTCCCGTGAGAACTAAGATGGAATGCCTCGTTTCCAGTAAAAGGGGTCTTCGGTTCACTACATTCACCGCACGAAACACAACGGCGTTCAGCTGCTATTTTACGCTGGTACTCTGTGAGATCGTGGTCCTTCCCCGATCGAGCTGACCCATTCGTACTACAATTATACTACTATTACAGCAGCAACATTTCTCTACTACGTCTAAATAAAATCAACTTGGAAATGGAAGGGGCTGTACGAAAGCTACAACTTTAACTAACTTTAAAAAGGCTTTTTAAACTATAGTTAAATTACCTGTATCATTAATCATCTTTGCATTTCACACCTCGACGTAATTGCTAACAAATCAATGATCAAATACGACGTTTTTAAAAATAAATTGACACAGTACACAGGTAACTATAGAATGTTCTACAAATTAAATCCACACACACACACTCACAGAATTCCCACCAGCGTTAAAACTAGCTAAAAATGTGCAGATTCGTGTCCTAACGGTGTTGATCCTCAGTTTATTTCTGTATTTATTTTATAAATGACCTGCTTATCTACTACAATCTACATTATGGTAAAATCATTGTGAGAATGAAATTGATACGAAAATTGATTAAAACTACTTTTACGGATTTTATCGCGTTTATTTTACTATTATTTTTAATTCCCGACGTTTCGGGCGCTTTCCAGTTTTTTTTGTTCCAACCATTGTCACGGGGGACTGAGATGACTGACGTCCCGATGTCATTGTTAAACCCGGAGTACCTTCAGCTTTTTTAATTATTGTTTATGGTCCGATCTATGCAAAATGAACTGACTATGTCCTGAGGTCTTGCAGTGGTATGCTTGGGTTTAGTTTTAATTTTATTGATTATAGGATCCCAAGCAGGTGGTAGTACCCAGCCTCCTTCTCTATTGAAATTAGGATCTTTTTTTAATTTCAATAGCCTCACGTATCATCCTTGGTAAGAGTCGGTGTTCTTTCGCGAGGATTTGTGGTCTATCAAATCTGATGTAATGGTTGGGGCCGTCTAGGATATGATCGCAAACTGCAGACTTCCCGGAACGTTGATGCTTCACATCTGCTATATGTTCTTTTACGCGGTTAGTTATAATTGAGATGTAGTCTTCAACAGGTAGGCATGTAAATAGAGACTGAACATCAAAACTGACCATGGTTTCATTGTCAGTAAGACGTAGGTCTTTTATCTCACTGACAAAATGGTATGAATCCTTAGTGTGTGCTCTTGTGTGTCCTCTGAGTGGTGATAATATTTTAGCTAAGTATTGAGCCAATCTGTAAGTTGGCGAATCAATCTGACTCACTATTGGATGTAATGGAGCGTTCGGTTTGTGTATTTTTGTTAACCCATACAACTTCGGTGGTTTGGCACATGAAGGTATTATCGAATTAACGTCCAGATTCAATTTCTCGGAGTATTTCTTAATTAGATCGCTAGTTGTTTCAAGCGTATTAGTTGTAGGATTTGTTTTGACCTTTCGGTATGTAGTTTCATCCGACAAAAATTGTTGTATTTTAAAATTGTAATCTGACGTATCCATTATAACCGTAGCGTTGCCTTTATCTGCGCGGAGAATCATAATCTCTAGTCTTTTGCGTAAGTTTTTCAACGCGTTAAATTCATTTTTGGGAATATTTCATTTTGGCGCTGAACTTCGACGTAACATAGACGAAATGTCTTGACGTCTGGCCTATAAATCTTCATTATCAATGTTATTTTTATACAGACAGTCCTCAACAATAGAGATAATGTCCTCATACGGTATTTTTCGCGGTGTTATTGCGAAATTCATACATTTTTCTAAAACTTTTATTGTGGCGTCGTCCAGTGTTTGTTTTGATAAGTTGTAGACAGCGCGTTGTTTGTACGTTGTTTCGTTATTGTTGACAGTGACTGTGTGAAGCCGGCCACAGTCGAGCGTGTGACTGCTGCACTACCATATGTCAGAGGTGTCACAGACAAGATTGGCCACATCTTGAAGCGAGCTTCTATTAGAACATTCTACAAGCCGCCGAAGAAGATTAATCGATTCCTACCATCAGTCAAGTGTCATATTCCTCTACAAGATGCAGGAGCGTACAAGCTTGATTGTGAATGTGGTCTCTCTTATATAGGACAAACAAAAAGATCAATAGAACCCCCGTAAAAGAATATATAGCTGATGTGAAGCATCAACGTTCCGGGAAGTCTGCAGTTTGCGATCGTATCCTAGACGGCCCCAACCATTACATCAGATTTGATAGACCACAAATCCTCGCGAAAGAACACCCATTCCTACCAAGGATGATACGTGAGGCTATTGAAATTAAAAAAACATCCTAATTTCAATAGAGAAGGAGGCTGGGTACTACCACCTGCTTGGGATTCTATAATCAATAAAATTAAAACTAAACCCAAGCATACCACTGCAAGACCTCAGGACATAGTCAGTTCATTTTGCATGGATCGGACCATAAACAATAATAAAAAAGCTGAAGGTACTCCGGGTTTAACTATGACATCGGGACGTCAGTCATCTCAGTCCCCCGAAACCATGGGTGCTGAAAAACGCCCGAAACGTCGGGAATTAAAAAAAATAGTAAAATAAACGCGATAAAATTCATAAAAATAGTTTTAATCAATGTGTAGTGTTTGCGAATAAGAAATCATTTGATACGAAAAGTTATACAGTACAACTAGATGTCTATGGGCCACAGCAACCACTTACCATCAGGTGGACAGTGGCTCGTGTGTCACCCTAATCTATAAAAAAAACGTAGGGTATATAGTCTAGAAGAAGCCAATTTATTTTAAGTGTCTGTATCATGCTTTTCAATGCCTTTTTACCCGATTGCTCTAGAATGAGGGCAATGTTTTTCCGGTGACTGTATTTACGCATGTAAGTCTATTTCTATGGTACACTCTGTAGCTTAAATGGTTTGATAGATTTTAACATATGGGATGTCACTAGATTGGTCTTAGTTGTGGTAGTGACATAGAGTACGTAATTGTTTTTACGGAGGCGGGATTTTAAATCATCAATTATGTTAGATAATTGATAAAATCAGGCGTTAGTCTGCGAAAACTACCATGGCGGCTGACCGCTAAGTCACTTAGCCGTAGAGTCTACATTACCTGAAGATGCCTCGTGTAGAGGCGAAACACGTCGTATTATCGTCGATGGTGTGTCTTACCTGGAATATTGGTGTTGGGAGTAGTGGGGCTGGGACTAGTGGTGATGGAGTTAGTGCATGCAATTGAGGGAAGGCGGGAGGTGCTCTTCGATCCAGGTAAGACACATCATTGTATTTATTTAGCGGAAGGTTGCAAAGAAATTAATATTTTCATTTTTTAATCATGTTAGAGTTTACTTTTGGCTTTAAATTAAAGTAGCAGCCTATATACGAGTATGTTCCACAGCTGGGCTTCCTCTCACTTCTGTGAGGGTTTTAGTGCAAGGAATTGTTCGCTGTCCTGCCCCAATGCGTGTTGGCGGACTTCTCACGTCTTCGAAGTATTATTTTTTCTTAGATGTGCAGGTTTCCTCACGATGTTTTCCTTCACTGCCGCAACATTTGGCTTGCTTATCAGAAATATTCGTGAACGCAAACAAAACAACTCAAGTTAAGTTTCATCGTAACTGGATGAACCGTATAGAAGCCCATGACGTATAGGTATGTATTGTATAGAACCGTATATACGCATTGGTTTATTGGTTTCAAGCACGACAGCTGATCATGTGGTTCCAGGGTTTAAATCCCGGGTTCAACGAAAATCACTATTGAATGTT